TAGAAACATTAAAAATATTTGTATCCAGACAATACAAATCACAGATGGTGACCACTGCATGTTCCTTTTAAAAAAAAAATGGACGTATAATGGTGGCAGTGAAGGTCATACGAACAGTATCATGAGTGCAATTAACCAGTTAGTATACAATAAGTATTAGAAAGAGGCCCTCGACACTTTTTAAGAGCAACAACTTTACATATTTGATAATTATCTCGTAAGTGTTTCTTTTTACTTCTTTCTATGGTTGTGATGGCACACTTAATGTATGTACTAGTAATTTCGAAATCAACATCTAGTTTTTGATATACTTGTACATTCATTGTTAAAACAAAAATTCTCGTTTTTACACTTTAGTTTATAAATACAACCACTCACACGATATATTAAAGTCCAGACATTTTGAAATCATTTTTTTTTAAATTTTCAACTACAACCGAACTTATGATAATATATCCTAAGATATTTCCGGCTAATCTTTACCTATGGTGCCAGGGGCCCATTGGATCGGATAAATTATATCATAGATATATATGTATACGTATGTAATATATATATATATATATATATATATATATATATATATATATATATATATATATATATATATATATATATATATATATATATATATATATATATATATATATATATATATATATATATAAAGACATAGAGATATATAGATTAAACATATATAGAATATGAATCGGAAAGATGCATTACCTTATAAATATAAAAAATATGCAAATATTTGTTTTTGTATGAAAAGATAAAAAAAAAAAATACATAATAATTAAGCCTCGCTGCCACTGGGTACATCTTCCACCTCATAGAATCCATAATAATTACAATTTTGTAATCATATTAATGTACCATCATATACCTGTATTTCCAAATTTCCAGATTTACCTAATACGCCTACTTTCTCATTGGTTTGCAAAATCATATTTAAAATACATTTTGATTTTACACATTTTACACACAGCTTTGAATTTGATATTGCAAAATGTTGGAGTTTCTGATTGACATTTGGAGATCAGATCTACTTCATTCATATGTAGATTCGATATTTAAGGAATGACTCTAATTCTTGGCCAAATTATCGAGTATATTAAATATGGTTTGGGTCAGTTTACGCTTTATAATCCGGATTATAAAAAAGCGTAAACTGACCCAAACCATATTATACTCGATAATTTGGCCAAGAATTAGAGTCATTCCTTATAATTTAATTTTAAAATATCATTCAACTGGGGATGTAAAATTGTGTTGTTTTTATGAGTTCAAATTTACCGCGCAATAATTCAACCGTAGTAACGGAAGTGATGGGAAGCGAGGGGAGGTAAAGACTGATACATAGATCTAGCAGTCATGATGCTTGTTTACACGACGTAAGATCGAGTAACTGGTTGAAGTTAAAGGTACATTAATTCTGGAATTTTCCATGAATCCCAAGGACTGGATATGAGGAGATTGATGGATATAGATGATTCAGGTGGTTGTCAAGTGGATGTGTCCCCATACCAAACCAGATTATACAAAATGTTATGCGTTCGTTTTTGGAAATCAACCAATGAGAGGCAAGAATACAAGCAAAATTAAATTATATCGGAATTAATATGAATTAAAAAAAAATACAAGTCTAAAGCATCTGTATCATAATTGAATACTTTGCTAGAAAAGACGTTAATGAGTAATACTTTGTGATAAAATTGTTGACTTAAAGTGTTCTATCAGCAATTTTCCACACATACATTGTATGTAGGAAAAAGCAATTTCACTTGCAAATGGAATTTAAATATCCTAGTTGATTCGAAATGCAAAGGTACGTATGAACACTTTCTAGTACGAAGCAAGCTTTAGTCAAACAAGTTGATGGAACAGTTTCGTTTGTAGTAATCATTTTGCAATTTGATGGTTGATACAAATTTCTTATCAACAAATTTATCTACCATTAGTCGCCCGCTTGGTGCAGTGGTTAGAATCTGTTATAAAGTCGCTAAGTAAGGTGTTGATCCTTACCTAACGGGTTTGAATCCTACTGTGGGACATGGAGACCGGTCCCTCGGATGAAACCGTGAAAACTGAGGTCCCCTGTCGCAGTCGATGTTGGCAAGGTTTCCCAAGGTTCAATTGCGCCTGCTACCTCTCGGCAGGGGATGTCAACTTTTCCGTTTTGCTTGTTCCCAACTCTGATGTTTTTTTAAGAGAGCCATATTTGGATATTTGAGATTGATTACATTTTGCTTTCTTTAAATTCACTTTAATGCTTATAGGTAGATTGAGCAAGTGCGTAGGAGTGATTTTATATGGACTAATTTTGTGCTAATTTTTAAATTCTTTTTCAATTTTTTTTCCACGATGCCTGAGTGAAAATGCTAAATATTTGGTGTAAACTGGTAGCCTTGTCCCGATTATTTTTATTTGTAGACCCTTACTGCACTCTCAATGAGCGCAATTGCAGATGACCTATCGGGATACCTAATTGAATGGCTACTGAATGATTTGACACTTTTAGGAAAGATCCCTTGCAAATCCCACAGACCTAGTCTGAGGTCTAGGTTGCCTTGGACTAAAAAAATAGCATTGGCTGGCATTTTGCACAAAATTGGTGCGGAGCATTAACCAAATTTTGATTTGCTGTGGACTGGGGCTGGCTCAATGTATGAAAGGATAAAGTTGTTGCTTTAGAAGAAACAATGCATTTATGTATTCGCTGACATTTGGCTCTATAATTATAGTCAAAATATTTGCAACTTGGTGTTTACTTTTTGTTTGGCTACTGAAGTTTGATTCATGTAAGCCTTGCCGAGCTCATCATCAATAACCCAAATTGTTTGACGGTTTCATGGCCATTCTCAAACGATGCTGTTAATCATACGTAACCTTCGCAATTGGCTTTTCTGCTCCAAAGCGTATGAAATGCATGTATGTATTTCAGCGAATGCTGTATACCTGGGGTATAACTTGGATCACGCTTCTAAAGTAATGCTTGAAAAATTAGAAAAGCGTCAATCCAATGGACTTTATTAGAAAAAAGAAAGAGGGCGTATAAGGCGTGGACAATCCCTCGCTATGAGACAAAATGTTTCTCAATTTTCAAAATGCACAGAAAAGTTATATTTTGTCTAAAATCAAGTTTTCATTAATGTCATCTTCAAAACATTTTATCATTTTATTTTACTGAACGACTTATTATTTGATAATTTTTATTTAAAAATTGACACATAAGCATATTTAGTGGAAAATGGGTTTACAAGAGCTATAAACATTAATTTTAAACATGAAGGGGTCAAGTCTCGATTCTTCGTTAACGCTAAAATGATGGAAACGTAAATCTGAAATCTATTTCATTTGTCCAAAAAATGGAATCTAAACCCATTCTACATGAAAATCGAAAATTTATGAAAAAATGTACGCTTCAACCAACCCGTTCATTTAAATCACACAGACAGACGTTGATAATGCATATAATTCGTAGCGTAGTGATTAAAGCGATTGGACTTAGACGAAACCCTGCGCTATCAGGCACGTAGCAACAGGGGGGGGGGGGGCAGGGGGGCCTTCCCCCACTTTTTTGCTCAACATTACCTTTACATGTCCATTGAAAGGAAGGTTGCCCCCCCCCCCTTTTTACCACAGTATATATAAAGGAAGGAGATATAGGAAATAATTTGGAAGTGAAAGGAAGTTGGCCTTTTAAAAAGTTGGCTACTACCCCCCCCCCCCACGAAATAGGTACTTTAGGTAAGTAAAAAAAAATTCTTAGGTTCCCCCCCCCCCCCCACTTTCAAAAACGATGCTACGTGCCTGACTATTGAGAGAGTTAAAAACATGAGTGAAAAAATATATTATTAATAAAATATTAAAACAATGAAATACAGAATTATATGTGTAAAAGCTAATATAAACAATATCATTTTGAAAAATGTAACTTTTAGAATTGAAAAATGTCTTTTCTCAGTGCGGGGGATTGTCCTCACCTTGTACGCCTCCATTCTTTGAACGTTGGCCTATCACCGTTGTGCTAAAAGCTGGTCCTATATATCCCATGATAAAGTAGATGGCTGTGTTTTAGTTGTTCTAACTAAAAAAGGGACCCAAGATTGATATATTCCCCATTAGCTTTTTTTTTTTGCTTCGTAGCTTAGTCAACAAGATAACTCGGTGAAAGTTGGCTAGTATTTTTCATAATGAATTGGTTAGACCGGATCAACAAGTGCTATAGACACCTGTGTCAACTGGTCCATCAATATTATTGACTTTGTGTATTTTGTGACCTTTGAGTAACTGTAACTGCAGCTGCAACCAGGACTTTGACAATTGGAACAAATATTGGGTCCGCAGTTGATCTGAGTAACTTGTGGAATATTAAAATATGGGGAGATATTGCTCCAATATGCGGTATTCTTTACAATAATAACATCCCCTATTTAAAAATATGAATATCTGTATGAATATACACATTTAATTCTAGAGGTATGGAATAGAAACATACTGGTTATTGATGATGTATCTTTTCTAAAGTTTAATCCTCCAGGATCAGTCACTGTCGAAATTCACTTATAAATGTACAATATATCGGTATATATAAATGTTGAATTTCAATAGTACTCTATATTTAACTTTGCAGCTAATGCACTTTTGTACACATTTATAAACCACTTAATTTCTTCACTAAATTAAATTAGTTCACTAAATTAAATTAGGACAAGCGATAATAATATGTACTCCCCATGTGATGAATAATTGCTACTTTGTCTTTAGTTAACAATATAAAAAATTTCAAAGCCATGTCAAGTCTGATAAAACTTCATAGCTCTTTGAATTCAGTTCACATTCTTTTTCTAATATTCTTAAATACACGTTTGATGAATTCAATTAGGGCAATTCAGAATTTATGTTTTCCTCTTATGACGAAATATTGCTACAGTACTAGTAAGTATGCTTTACAAATTAAAGCACCTTTAATTCAGGAATTGCAAAAAAACTTTCTCTTAGTTCTTTGAATTCAGTTCATGTTCACTTTCCTTTTGTAATTGGTATTGGTTTTCCAAATAATCGTTTGCAAATAGGAGGACCTGGTTTAATGCACTGAGTGCTAAAATGTTCATGTTCATCTGCAGATGTAGTTCCTTTTCGTAGTTCTTTACAGGGAACACATGATTTCTTGGCACCTTCATAATTGCTGCAGCTTGATTAACTGCCATCTCAATTTTTTCGCTTACAAAGGCATTGCTGGCATCATGATCGACCAATTCACACAGGAGGTCTATTTTTGTCAGGATTATTAAATGCGGTATACCTAGATAAAGATTTTAAACAATTAAAATATATAAAATGCAATGTACATATACATTGTATTAATTTACGATGTGACGTGATTGGCATTCCTAGACATATCTTACTTCTTCTGTCTTCATTGTTGCACTGAAATTTTTTCAAAGCATTATTTAAAATATCTATTTATAACAAGGAAATATGAAAATAATAAAAAAAAAAAGAAATCTATTCCAAGAGTATTAAAACAATACAAATCATCAAAGAAGAGTTGATAGGCTATAAGTGTCAGGATGTTAATTTATGACTTTATTATACCCCTGTCAGCCACATTTTCCTTGATCTGCTGGAGTTTGTCAGTAATTCCTTTTGTTATGGATCCTATGTTGCTTGCATCAATGACGAAACAAACCACATGAGTTCTTTCTTGCAAGGTTGGATTTTTAACAAACCCCTTTACATGCTCTGACGCAAAAGAATTTAAATTAAACTGGAAAAGAACAGAAGCAATTTTTATGTGCGGAATTAAAAAAAAATTAATGCACTGTTTAATGTAGTTAACAAGAGTTGACAAAAGTGTAAGTTATCTGTAATCACTAGGGATGGCAATTTATTATCGTTTAATCGATTACTCGGTCGAAACGTCGACAATCGGTTATGCCTAGGTCACATTTCCCGGCCGATAGCCGTAAACCGGTGGTAATCAGTGGTAATCCGTGGTGTTAGCGATGCACTAACATCGGTCCACATCGGCCTAGTAGTCCTTAAAGTATCAGTTACATTATCCAGCGATGGGTATACGATGGGCAACCAATGCGTTTTATGATAAAAATGGCGTGGTTGCCGGCCGAACGTACAAAGGCCCAGCGATGCATTGCTAATCAAAAAACGATGTTCCAGGATAATCGGCCGATGTATATGACATCGCTCATACATTGGTGAACATCGTTCGTACATCGGTCGACTACCGGCCAATGTTTGGTCGAACATCGACCGGTGATCGGCAGTTATCTGTTGAACACCACTCAACCCCCTTATTAACCTCTGATTCAACGGATATTGGACGATGCATGCTCGGCCATACATCGGCCGATCCTTGAAAGATGTGTTAATGATGGGTTACCGATGAGGATCGATGTGAGGCATCGTGGAGACATCGCTGAATTTAAACTACGAATTATTTCCTACCGATGTCCCCACCGATTTGCAAAATGGCCTCAGTCACCGTCCGATCACTAGTGGTGCCCGGGCGGCAACCATGCCATTTTCATAAAAAAAACGCATCGGTTTCTCATCGTAAACCCCATTGCTGGATAATGTGACTGATACTTTAGTCGGAAGAATTGTTTTGTATTTCTTTAATGATTATCAAATCACCACTGGGAACTGTGAATTAGTATGTTTGTTTGTTGTTTTTTAGCTCACCTGAGCCGAAGGCTCAAGTGAGCTTTTCTGATCACATTGTGTCCGTCGTCCGTCCGTCCGTCCGTGCGTCCGTCCGTCCGTCCGTCTGTCCGTCCGTAAACTTTTCACATTTTCGACTTCTTCTCAAGAACCACTGGGCCAATTTTGACCAAACTTGATACAAAGCATCCTTGGGTAAAGGGGAATTTAAATTGTTAAAATGAAGGGCCAAATCCCTTCGCAAGGGGAGATAATCAAGAAAAGACAAAAATAGGGTGGGTTCATTAAAAAATCTTCTTCTCAAGAACCACTGGGCCAGAAAAGCTGAAACTTATGTGGAAGCATGCTAGGGTAGTGTAGATTCTAAATTGTTCAAATCATGACCCCCGGGGATTGGGCGGGGCCACAATGGGGAATCCAAGTTTTACATATAAATATATAGGAAAAATCTTTAAATATCTTCTTCTCAAGAACCACTGGGCCAGGAAAGCTTAAACTTATGTGGAAGCATCCTGGGGTAGTGTAGATTCTAAATTGTACAAATCATGACCCCCGGGGATTGGGCGGGGCCACAATGGGGAATCCAAGTTTTACATAGAAATATATAGGAAAAATCTGTAAAAATCTTCTTCTCAAAAACTATTGGGCCAGAAAAGCTTAAACTTATGTGGAAGCATCCTGGAGTAGTGTAGATTCTAAATTGTATAAATCATGACCCCCGGGGATTGGGCGGGGCCACAATGGGGAATCCAAGTTTTACATAGAAATATATAGGAAAAATCTTTAAAAATCTTCTCAAGAACCAACTGGGTCAGAAAAGCTGAAGCTTATGTGGAAGCACTCTGGGGTAGTGTGGATTCTAAATTGTTCAAATCATCCCGGGGGGGGGGGGGGTTGTTAGGGCAGGGCCACTATGGGGAATCAAAGTTTTACATAGAAATATATTGGACAATCTTTGAAATGCTGAAACTTATGTGGAAGCATCCTTGGTCAGTGTTGATTTCAAATTGTCAAAATTATGATCAGGGGATAGGGTGGGGTCACAATATGTATTACAAGGGGGAAATCTAGTAAAGAACAGAATGGTCAAAGCTTCTCAGGTGAGCGATGTGGCCCATGGGCCTCTTGTTTTTTGCAGTTATCTATCGAATAAAATACTAAACAAACTTTGTAAATAAACATGATAAAGTCATGTACTACACCTAGTTTTAATCAATATGGCGATAACGCTGAATGAATGTTCATGTAGTTGAAATTAATATTCTTTGAAAAAACATCTTCATTGATATCTTAGACATTATTCGCGGTTTTCTTAAAATGTTCCAGTCTATATTGTAACATAAATAAAATATATAATCAAGTGGGTTTTTAAAAGAAATAATCATTTCGTAATCGTAAATATAATCGTAAATATAATTAGTCATTTTCTAGATTATTTTTATCAGTCTCCTTGTATAATTATATGATAGAGCTTAATAAAAAAAAAACAGCATTGCATATCAAGAAAATGTGTGTTTTGATACGGTTCGGTTACATGTAACCGTTTCATCGGTCGGAACGTCGGAATAACCGATAAGCAATTCTGTAATCAATTGCCATTCCTAGTTATCACTGACATCATTATCTACCTAGATTAAATTTTCAGACCAGCTTGAAAAATTTAAAATTCTGTCTTTTTCATTTACATATTTGAAATCAAATGATTTTGGATTTTTGTTTATGAAGAGCATAAATTACAGTATACTGATTTGGTAAATTTCCATCCAGCATGTATCCTAAATCTTTGTCATTCATCCATTTACTCGAAAGTGTTTGGTTTGTATCTATTCCTAACGTATCACAAATCCTGAACTTCAAGTTTTTGTTTTCAGCAGAATCCCGAATTATGTATCTCATAAACTACAAGTTAATGGGATGTATGTATTTCAAAGCTAGATCAAGCAATCAAGCAGAAGACTGCCTGCAATTTTTAACACAACTTATAGAGTAGCCTTTAATATGGGTTTCAGTACTGAAGTGAATAACACACAACTTTTTTCTAAGCAAAAACATTGTTTTTTTTTCTTTAAATATATAAATATTATATTCTTCATTAATTCTTAAAAGATCTAGTTCTATGAAGAAAATTGGACACACCAGCAATGAAACTAAGACATTTGAATAACTATATAATATGTTTTCAAATCGATGTAGATGTACCTGGTAGTCATGACAACTAGAAAGTCAAACAGGAAAGTACATATATTTTAATAAACTTAAAATAATACAGAAAAATACTGGCATAAAAACGAAATTTTCGTATACGGGATATCAAATACTAAAATAATGAAAAAGGTATAATACGAAAATATTGAAAAAAGTATTGTATTATGTATTAAGTAATTTATATCATCCAACCTAATTGTCTTTTATTCATTGGCCTCACTAAAATTGTTGGAAAGTAGAAGGTTCATAACACGAGGATAACACCTTTTAAATAAAATCCAGCACATAAAGTGAAAAAATAATTAACAGAGTTGTTTTTCTAGCATGAAAAATGTGCTTTTCCTTCAATATCAAATCAATCTTTTGTTTTAATCCGTCTCAGCAAATGTACGAGATATGATCAAAAAATTCACAAACTAATTGAATCACTTCCAAAAAAAGAAACAATATTAAATTTTGGTTTCATTGTTGAATATATTTTAAATCACTCCTCTACAATTGTAATGCACGTCTGCCACCGTTCTGCTCATGCGCGAATTACGTTATATAGGCGGTCACATGACCCTCCGTAGCGTTCTGTCACAAAAGCTGAACAATTTTCTGACTTTTATATTTCTTTCTATGTGAGTTAATTTTTATAACAAGAACGGTTCATTTGTCAGAAATGATCAAATATCGGCAACAGATCTAGAATAGGTGGATAAGAATTTCCTTTCCAAAAATAAGCATAGCGACCATTTTCTGTCTTGGGAGAGACTTTTATTCAAGGTGGATACAGAATGTTTCCCTCTTTTTTATCGTATCTAATATGTTTATAATCTAAAGTAAACGGTTTCTTAGGTATTTGATAAGTATATTATTATTTTGATATATTTAACTATTTTTCACAGTGTAAATTGGAGGTCTTCGATAGCAAATTGCCTATTAGAATAAAAAAACACATCTCTTTTCAAATTTGCTTTCACTGGGCAACAAAACAAGTATCATTTTTAACCATCTGCCTTCCTTCACTAAAACGACCAATCTAATCATTGATTGAATTTATAGGAGGTCAGTTATCTTATTAATCTGTGTACAAATTATTATACCTAATCTAAAAAGAGATTTCGAGGATGTACAAAAGATTTTACATCGTTTTTTTAACGATCGCGAGTACAAGTGAAAAAAACATTTTTCGTCACAAATTACCTACATGTACATAGTGACGCCATTTTCAAATTGTGACGTCACATTCAAGGGGCAAAACTTTATTAAGCATATGATATTTATAGAACCTGTGTATGGCTATGTGTGTATCAATTTTTTTTTACTAATCGAAAATGTGGTTTTGAAGATACAGAGATAGTTCATGAACTTTTTGATCACCCCTCGTATGCATTTTTGATCTCTTAACGAGGCCCGATCTAGTTGATCTGCGCATACGTTTTAACGCAGCGTCGACTCAGGCACGTCACAATACCCTTGACTGCCGTCACAATTGAACACAATAACGTCACAGTTAAAATGACGTCAAATTACGCTAAAATGTTTTGCTGATCAAGCTTACCTGGTAGTTCTATAGACTATGCATTGAAATATGGCATTCTATTTTATTTTTTTTAAATATTTAAATTAATAAACAACTTCGGAACCTAAATAATTTTGAGGGTTCAATTTTTTAGTACAGATTCATTAATTTTATCCTGTTTTAGTTCAATTTGTGAGTTTAAAAACACAAACACTGCAACTAAAAGTAAACGATTTTCGTTTTTTCTCTTTGAACATGTTGAAATGTTTATGCACACTCTTTTTATTGCGGAATTAAATATGCCATATAACATGGATTATCTTCAGTTTTAAAAAATAAAATAAGTCTATAAATCATTTAAATTGAACCCCCGAAATATTTTATTTTTCTATATAGTACATGATATTAGTAAAAATTTTGTCGCCTTTACACCCCCTTCCCCTTCCTCCCTCTACCCCTTTTTTCCACGTAAAACAACGTCGCGTGTTAAGAGAAAAATAAACCATGGCGAGAAAATTATTTCATAATGTAAGAATTATTTATTTTTTAGAAACTAATACATTATTGCAATCGTTTGTTGGCGTTATGTTAACCTATTGCGACCTATAAAATACGTAGTTGGATAGAATAAACCAAAATTTTGTGTTTTAACATGCCCCCTTTTCACTGCAGTAAAGGCTACCTTCAATTTTCTTTTCATTTTTAAAAAGAAGAATGAAAATTACATGATATATGTAAAAAACAAAGAATTTCATCATGTATTTTTTGTTAAAATTGTAAATTTCATTGTTTATAGAAGAGTTTTACTATGTAATTATGTATAAAAACACAAAATATGGTCCATATCTTGACAGTGCCCCCATTTCACTACAATAAAGGCAAGGTAACAAAATTTCATTCTAATTTTTCTAAGCATAAAACATACAAGTATATTTCCAAGAATTCAAATTTTTTATCATTCCGTTTTCGTAATTTTCAACTAGATCGGGCCTCGTTAAAAAGGTAAAAATGAAATGGTCTTGTATTATTGAGTTGTTTCAAGTTAACCCCTATAGAATTGTACATTTAGCATTTTTAGATAATTCTGTTTAATGAAAGAACGAGAAAAATTCCTTTTTTACTTTTTTAGATAGACTTACATTTTTTGTCAAACTTTGATTATTAAATCTACTTCCTGTGCATGCCCTGGAGGAAATTTTTCCTTTGAAGATAGTGTTAATAGTGTTGACAAAGCTTGATTTTCCGGAGCCGCTCTGTCCAATGAGCAAAATGTTTGATGCCGAAGTCTGTGCGCCTTCAAAAGGTCCATATGTAGATATAAGTGACTTGATTTCACTGTAAAACTGCAAGGAAAACAACATTATATGATGATCCTTCATTATAGAAACAATGTTTTGTTAACATTATCAACTGCTCATGTTATGCAAATCTCTAACAAAAAATATCTGGGTTGTAACCTCGTATTACTGTTTTTCATCAGCAGATTTTTCGCTATTTATTCCTTTGTAAAAAATTTGATGACCTGCCGTGATATAACTACCTCCGACTGTCATACATATATATGTAATAATGTATTCTTTAAAACTTTGATAGTTTATTGCATGAAAACTAACCCTAGAGACCCTAGAGACCAGGCCTAGAGATCATGATTTGAACAAATTTTAAATAATCTACACTGCCCGAGGATGCCTTCATATAATTCCATATTAATACGGAGAGTTTAAATTAATTCAAATTCAACTTAAGTTACTGCGAATTAAATTGGAATCGCGTTCACATGAAAAATTATGTCCTTATGATATCTAAGGGAAGACAATTTGAAATAAATTTGACGCACGCATAAAATTTAGCTACTTGCCACATGTCGGTCTAGCCCTTACCGTTCGATAGTTATGACGAATGTTAAAGTATTTTCATAAGTGCGGTTATCTCCAATGTAAAGGTTAAATGTATTGGTATTCAATGAGAGGTCTTGCAACAAAGAATACAACTTTAAAGTATGAATGTCATGATGTCTATCGTTCAAAAGTTATTGCCAAAGTAAAGTTTGAAATTTTGGTGCAAAAATGGGTTAAACTCCAAGGTCAGGAGATACCCAAAGAAAGGTCTTGCCACAAGGAGTTCACCGGCAATGGTGACGTCTCCATATCAGTGAAATATTCTGGAGAGGGACGTTTAACAGTATACAATCAATCAATCAATAACAATAATGTAATGAAAGAATAGCTCAGTTAAATACAAATCTAAATTTAAGATAAAAAATCGTTAATTCGCAACTTCCTCTAACTTTAGACACAAAAATATAACATGATTTCTCTCTATTACACAAATTCATAGTCGCCAGCGTGGCGCAGTGGATAGAGCGTCTGCTCTAGAGTCGCGAAGTAAGGAGACAATATTCACGTCGGGGGTTCGAATCCCACTGTGGGATGTGTAGACCGATACTTCTGATGACACTGTATAAACTGAGGTCCCGTGTCACAGTAGGTACTAGCACAAAAAGATCCCTCATTGGTCACTGGTCCTAAGTGCAGAGTATATGACGGAATTGTAGCTCTCCATCATGCCAGCAATTGGTGGCGTCTCCACATAAGAGAAAAATTCTTGAGTGGGACGTTAAAAAACATGCAATCAATCAATACACAGATTCACGTTTCTTAGAGAATAACTTCAATACTAAGAAACATTATCAATATTATTTTTATGAAAAATTTGAAGCTTTGAAATTGTTTAGATTTGGTTCAGAAACATTTCTTTTTAAGAAAAAAATATGAACCACTGCAAAAAAAGAAGTTCTGCTTTTACTGATATTTGATTTTCGTCCTAGTGCTATACGGTATTCTGACGAACTTAAAAAAAAAGCCATTGAAAAACCAATGATTTTTTTTACAAACGATATTTTTATCACCTTTTTATGACCCTGTAAACGAAGTTTCGGAAATTTATAGTTTTTGCTCTGTCTGTCTGTCTGTCTGTTTGTCCGCAAAAAACTTTAACGTTGCCCATAAATTTTGACCGGGTGGGACTATGACGTTCACATGTCACATTTGCATTTTTTGTGACGAGACTTTCTTTGGGTACCACTAAATTTGACCTTGAAGTTTGACACACTTGCACACTAAAATTCGAAACTTTTACCCTGATCATGACTTTTTAACGGTTGGTGCTAGGACTAACATACTTGATTTATGTATTCTTTGTTACAAGGCATTTCTTTAGAACCAACAACCTTGACCATTTTACCTTGCAATGTGACCTATTTGTTAAGAATTTTAGCTTAAATATTTTTAAATAGTTTGGAGTAGGGCTTTCATATTTCCCATATGTAATTTTTGCTACAAGACATTTCTTAAGAAACCAACAATCTTGACCCTTTGACCATGGCCCTGGAGTTAACCTACATTCAAAAATGTTAACCTTGTCCATAACTTTTGAACAGGTGGTGCTAGGGTTTTAATTATAAGTGAGAACGCTTTATTTTGGGTATTAACAAATTGTTTTTGAATTGCATTTGAGAAAAATTAACCTTTGCTTTGTTGCCATACGGAAACATGAGTGTTTCACAAACATATCTTGTTTTTTCAATTGTACCTGCGAATTCCATTGTGGTGGATCCCTCCATGGTCTATCAAGGGTCCCTGTTTAAAAAATGTTCACAGAATAAGATAAAAAAGATATATCCTGTGTCCATTTCAAATATTAACCAATATCGTAGATAGATTTAACATAATTTTCTTTTCGGATTTTTAGCATAATTAATTGATTTTCATATGAAACATGAAGATACGAACCACAATAAATAAAAAATCTTATTAATCAATATCCATTGATATTATGTATAAAATAATTTAAGTTTCACAATCTCTGTCAGAATTTCAATTAAAGGAACCTAATTTTTTTTTACCTTTGACAAGATAAACTTCAAGGTCCACGACATTGTTATGATTATTTGCGATTGTCTGCGCATTCTTTCCTTCCATATCATAACGATCACCGCGAAAGAAATCGCTACCATCTAATACGTAGAACCCCGATGTTTTTTCAACACTCTGATGAAAAGAATGCAAATCATAAAACCATGGACCATGGTCAATGCTCCCCCAAAAATTATTTCCTTGGTCCACGATTGAGGGAAATTTTTTAGCTTTCCATTTGCCTCTTTGATATAACTGAAACAAAAAGGAATTTTCGTCTTTACTCCAGGTTTTACTTTGGTGCCAACTTTCAAACAGATATCCCCCGTAAACATTGTTGTCTGTGTTGTAGAAGACGGTCACTGTGGGTCCCTTATTATCACACAGTTTATGGAACTTTTGTCCCGATGCGCCATCCCTCGTTATTTTATATAGAAGCTGGAAGTAACATTCTGCACCAATCCACTCTGTGAGCTGATCACGATCCTTGTGCTTAAGTAAGTTAATCATGGATAATTCTAAAACAAGAGAGTAGGTATGAAAAATAGTCAGTTCATGAATTTGAAGGCGTTGGAATGGCCCGGCTATTCTCAAAGAGATAAATGCACTGATGAAGGTTATGGTATAAACGATGACATTTCAATGAAAAACAAATACTGACAAATCACAATCAGTGAAGGTTTACAGGTGAAAACAAATTTCAAAATATGTTAGCTTGGTGCTAAAAATGTATTATAAACATTAGAATTTTATCAGGAAAAGCAAAATGGTATAAATCACCCTATATCATATAGGCTGCTTTTTACCATTTTGCCTTTCCTCATAAAATTCACTTGGCTTTGTATATTTTTCTAAAGTTTATATTACACATTTATCACCAAGATGACATATTCTGAAATTTATTTTCATCTGTAAAACTTTACTGATCGAGTGTGTTTTATCCATTTTTATAATTATATTGAAAGATTACTATAGCAAAGAATTCCACTGAGATAGCATGATTATGTTGGGCCAACGTGTGTTAAAGGTTGTATGGTTGGCGTTGGAGGAACAACGTTGGGCCAAAGTTGGACCAATGTTACCAAGTCAACCTTCTCATCATGACAGAATTCCAATGTTAGGAAATGTCAAACCAATGTAAAGCATCTTCCATTCACTTTAGTTTCCAAGGAAGGAAGGATCCTGTGTTGGTCAACGTTGTACCAACGTTCTATATACACCCTTAAAGAAAAGTGTATTTACAAGTTGGTAATAGTATGTTGGCCCCAACGTTGGCCCATTGTTCGTTATACACCCTTAAAGAATGTGTTTTATAAAGTTAGCAACAATGTTGGGCCTAATGTTGGCCTATTGTTTGTAATTAACCCTTAAAGAACGTGTCCTATCAAGTTGGTAGTAATATGTTGGCCCAACGTTGGCACATTGTT